GTGTAATAATTGTGTAAGTGTAATTTTTTGGCTGCTGCTGTGAGGAAATATCTGCCTGAAATTACAATGGGCTTTAATGGAGACATGTTGAACGTTTTTGTCACTTCATGCCCTCAAGAGGCATTTTGTTTAATTATTTTGCTTAATTATTTGTCATTTTTCAAGCTACGAGATGTTTTCCTACGTTTGTCATGACAAATTATGTCTCAAGAATGTAGGGTTTGGGAATTATGGCAGTTTTAAAAAAAATATGAAGGCACATTTCAAGATTTCTTACCCTCTAGCTGTGACATCACGCACTCTAGTTAATGTTAAAATCTGAAGAAAACCTCTTTAACAAGGTCTGAACAATGTTTAATATCTCTAAAAGTAAGAATCAGATTTAAAAGTGGTGTTACACGAATAATGTCAGAAAGATGTGTAAAATGTTAAAGTTGGAATGAGGTTTCTGAGTGAAAGTATGAATGAACAGTTAGCAGTTGAAGTCACATGAAGATTTGTTGAAGTCTGAAGAATATCTCCATTGACTTCAATGTTAAAAATGTGATGAATTATGGGATGTATCTCTGGAATTATGAAAGTTATGAATGATAAAAGTAATAGCCTGCGATTCCCGACCAAGCTGAACGTTTTGATGTTCGAACGGAGTTTCTGCGATGTTGAATGTGGGAGGAGAAGACGGACAAAATAATTGGACGGAATAATAATAACTCGTTTGTCCGTAGCATAACATTTAGTTGGAATGCTGTATCAGCATTCCCACTAAAATATTCAGAAAATTGCAAGTTGTTATCAGGAAGGAGAGCTCAACTATGCAGCAGTGAGTTCTCTGCAGCCAGAGGCAGGGCTGGACTGGCCATCTGGCATACCGGGCATTTTCCCGGTGGGCCGACGTGCCTTTTGGGCCGACACGTCATTTTTTTTTTTTCTGAAGTCACGGCCCATAAGACGGGTAGATTGGCCCTCTGTTTAAATGTTTTTAGTAATTGACACTGGGCCGACCCAATCAAATCTTTAATCACCTCCCCCTTTGGGCCGCTCGGTGTGCATCATTAAATCACGCCCCCAGGAGGTGAGCCGGCCGTTGAAGCCAAACTGCCTTTTTTTTCGAGGCAAGAAAAAAGCAGGCCCTTCGTGCTGATGCTGCCGCTTGTGTCAAAATAACCGACATGTTTAGTACAGGTGCAGGTCCATCTTCAGCACCCGTGGCCGATATTGGTGGTGAGGAAGATGATGAGAGGGAGAGAGATCAGCGCGAGTGAGGAGAGGGAGGAGAGGGAGGAGAACTCGCGGTAAGCAGAAGCTAAGGCCCCGCTCACACGGGAACGTTTGCGTTTATGCACAGTATGCGTATTCAAAAAAGTCTTCCGTTCACATGCATTCGTTTCATTTAACGTGTCTGTTCAAACGAGGCCGCTGGAAACGCTGTAGTACATATGCCGGGACTGTAAGTGGCGCTGTAACTTCTGCCAAAATACACCAAAAGCAGCGAAGAAGAGCAGCCCAGCAGCCCCGCCGCAATGTTGCCATGGCTACCCTTCTGTTCATGCCCCGCGGTGTATTTAGCAACATGTAGTTCATGTAATTCTCCATGTCCACTTGTTGCTGATGGTTGTGGTAGAGGAGCTGTATATTTTTGCACTAATATCTGTAGCATGGTCAGTAGCAGTAGCACTAGCAGGAGGAAGTGTGTGTGGCGATTGCTGGTATTCAGCGGGATATAGTCATTTCCTCAGCATATGGATAAATGCAACGGGGAAGTTAACTGAAAGAAACCGAATCTGTGGATATTGCATCGCCCGACCAAGAAGCATGTCTCCGTGGAGAGGACGGCTCAGAAAGAGAGAGATATTCTCTACAAACACCGGGTGAGATCATCCTTTGTCAATATAATGGATCAATGCATGAAATCTGACTCTGTTTATTTTGTTTAAGGAGTATATTGGGCGTTAACAATTCTGGTTTGCCTTTTATAATATTATTTCATTCAAGAACCCCTTGTGCGTTTAATTAACACAGCTATTTTTGATAGTTGCTACAGCAGTGAGCAGGAGAGGCGGGGCTATCGCTATTTTTTCAGGAAATATTCGTATAGAGGTGATTACACGGACTCGGTTGACCCCCCAGAGCGTTTCGTTTGCAAATCTATCCACCTTGGGACCCGTTATTGTTTGTGGGGTCAGTTTCTATCGGCCTCGTGTAAATAATAGGGCTATACGCACGCGAAACTATGCAGATACAAGCCGTTTTCTCCTCGTGTAAACGGCGCCTAAGAAAATTAGGAAAAGATTATTATTAAGGTTATGATACTCTGTAGTTCTGGAACCCATTAATATCCCCTTGATGAAGCACTAATAAGACAAATATTATAAGAGAAACATTCGTTAGCCTACAAGCTAGTAAGCTGGCTTTTTTAGGTTTTCCCTGGCAAGTTAAAATATAGCTTAATGGGACTCTGATACGTTGTCTCATTGAAAGAATGTCATTATTTTGTTAACCACCATTCATGAACAATTACTGTCAGCTGGCAGCTTGTTTTGTTTAGTTTATTTACTTATGTGGTTATAAGGGCAACAGTGGTCTTTTGGGACCAGCTTTTTGTGGTAGTTTTGATTGACAATATATAGAATGAATAATATAGAAATAGATAAAAAAATGGAGGCACACATGTAGTTTTGACCATTAACTGTGTGGTATTGTTATGTCAATGCCTATTTGTATGGACCTCTATCAGGGACCAAAGAGGTCACCTGCATCCTTTTTGACTCTCCCAAAGCCCCCCAACTACACACACACACACAACACACACACAACACACACACACACACACACACACACACACACACACACACACACACACACACACACACACACACACACACACACACACACACACACACACACACACACACACACACACACACACACACACTCACACACACACACACACACTCACACACACACACACACACACACACACACACACACACACACACACACACACACACACAAACTCCTACCCCGAGGAATGGACGCTGGACATAGTGCCCCTCTCCACAACAAGCATTCATTTTAGTTATTTCAGTCTAGTATATAAGTTACTTTGTGTGTACAGTATATATATACAGTATATATATCTTGCTAGTTGTGTACTTTTGTAATTTATGTGGGATTTCTGTCAAATGTTGCTTCAACTCTCTTTGTAAATTTAAATCTGTCTCTTTCAAACCTATTCTCAGGAAATTCAATAAAGACAGTGGATAGTATTTTTGGTTAAGTCTGTGTTCCTTCAGTTCTGTGTGCTCTGTGAGGTTCTGAGAAACCAGCCGCCTAAGACTTGCACTATAGCCCCTTGCGTGCGTCAATCAATCACATTTTATTTATATAGCCCAATATCACAAATTACAATTTGTCTCAGAGGGCTTCACAGTGTGTACAGGTACGACATCCTCTGTCCTTAGACCCTTGCAGCGCTCAAGGAAAAACTCCCCAAAACAGACCCCACAATTAACAGTGGAAAGTAGGAAGAAACCTCTGTGAGAGCAACAGAAGAGGGATCCCTCTCTCAGGACGGACAGACGTGCAATAGGTGTCGTGTGTACAGATGAAAAAGGCAATACAATTACAGCGATTAAAAAAAGGATGGAAAAATTAAATGAAAGCGTCAATGTATATAAAAAAGATGCCGTCGACTCATCCTGTAGACTCATCTGGTCCTATCTCTATTGTGTTGTCATAGAAAGGGGAGGCAGGGCACTATAGGGCCCCCCCCCCCTAAATTCACTAGAAGTCATCATTTAAGGGGTTATTTAAAAAAAAAATCTTCTGGGGGGGGCATACCCCACCAGACCCCCCTATTAGTGCTCGGTCACTGTTCGCTTTGTGAGAGGGTTTGAAGGTCTAATTTCTAATGATTGATAGTTACACATACTTGTGGTATGTATTAGTTTTGTTTGCCCATGGTACGTAAAAAGGATAATAATAGCGTTTTTTAAAATTATACTGATTTATTCTTCTTGTCAGGAACCGCTACTATTCGTTTGTTTTATGGATTTGGGCCGGTCTGGGTCTAAATGCCAGGGCCGATTTGCTGTCCCAGTCCAGCCCTGGCCAGAGGTGAGGTGTTGAAAAGTGTTACTGCAGAAGGCAGGAATGGTTTCCTTTCCCTCTCTGTGTGACAGCGGAGCAGTCGGTTGGAGAAGGAGCTCCTGCCTGTCGAGCTGCAGGTGGAGAGGGTGGGCTGGGTTATCCAAGATGGACAACAGTTTGTTAAGGGTCCTGCTCTCCACCACATCTTCAGAACTGTCCAGTTTCACACCGACGATAGAGCCAGCTGTCCTGATCAGTTTATTGAGTCTGCTGGTGTCACCGGCTCTGATGCGGCCCCCCCCCCCCCAGCAGACCGCAGCAAAGAAGAGTGCACTGGCCACAACAAACTGGTAGAAGATCTCCAACATCTTGCTGCACACGTGGAAGGATCTCAGCTTCCTCAGAAAATAGGGTCGGCCCCTCCCCTTCTTGTACATAACGTCAGTGTTGATCTTCCACTTCAGTCCGTTGTCTAAGTGCAGTCCCAGGTACTTACTCTGTTTACTGGATTATTCACACGCTTTTAAAAAACCTTTTTTGAGTTTGACAGTTCCTGTGGACTTGAACATTTCTCCAGTTATTTTAGTTTGTGCTACTGTTGGGGACAGAGTTATTTCAAAACAAGGATTCTTTATTTGAAGTTGGGACTTTTGGTCTTTGGGAGTCACTCCAGTTAGACAGAAGTGAACACTGTTCAAAAGGAAGCTGAGCACCCATGAGTTTAGTGTGGCTTTTATACATTTAGATTTACTGTGTGTGTGTGTGTGTGTGTGTGTATGTGTGTGTGTGTGTGTGTGTGTGTGTGTGTGTGTGTGTGTGTGTGTGTCCTCAGTGAAGTGTAGCTTCCAGCTGCAGCAGTCAGCTCAGTTCCTGTTCAGTCTGACTGAGGGAGGTTTTTGTACGACGCTTTTTCACTGTGTGAACACATACTGACTGTTGGGGTAATGCCAACTCTGACAGTAGTAAACTGCTGCATCATCAGTCTGGACTCCACTGATGGTCAGAGTGAAGTCAGAGTTTGATCCACTGCCTGTAAAACGGTCTGAAATCCCTGATACTCGAGTGCTAGTAGTGTGAATGAGCAGTTTAGGAGTTCCTCCATCTCTCTGTTGGTACCAGGCTAAATAGTTCCCATTATAAACCTTCTGACTGGTCGTACATGTGATGGAGACGGAGCGTCCCGGAGCAGAGCTCACTGCTCCAGACTGAGTCACTGTGTACTGGCCTCTGGACTCTGAGGATACAGAGACAAAGACATAAAGCAGCGTCATGGTTTTGTCCGCTTCATTTCAGAGGGACGGATGTTCACAGAGGAGAGGAGTTTGATTCTCTGGACTTTACCTGTGAAGCAGCAGCAGAGGAGAGTCCAGATGAGGACGCAGATCAGAGTCATGTTCTTGATGAGGAGGATTTCTGTGTCTTCTGTTGTCATGAAGGACAGCTGTCAGTCATCCAGTGCTCAACTCTCAGGACTATAAAGTGTCCCAGAGCACTGGAGCATGGTGCTGCTGATGCAAAGTGTCTCTCTATGGAAATGCTCTGACTCCAACAGGGACCTGGATTACTCTGATGATGCTGTTTATCAATGGATCCATCTCTCTGTCAGAGGATTGATCAGGAATGGGTCAGCGCTCACTTGTATGAGGCTTTAAGTTCAATGGACACATTTTCTTGTAGTTCATTTTATTAAAAAGCTCAAATTCATAACTCCTAATAATCAATACCACCTAGGAAAAACAAAATGGAGATTTATTATTGATCCTGATGGAAAAGCAAACATGTATTTATGGAAATGAGGCACATTCAGAAGTATAACATGAATAGCTTTTATTGGACGTTCATTGTTTCATTTAAGTAATCAATTACTTTGATGTTTAAAAGTTGATAAAATCATGAAACTAAACATCTTTTGTGAACAATTCGTATTCAAAAGAAGAATCTTCATTAAAACTGAAGAGCTAAGTAGATATTTGTTTTAAATGTTTAAAAGGTTCAATAGAGAAACAGTAGATACTTTTCCATAGTGTGTGAATCTGTTTCAAACATTTGAAGCAGTAATTATATCAAGTGGGTAAACTGTGGATGTGTTTGGTGAGTTTGTTTGTGTCAAAGTCAGAGAGCCGTGTCTCTCTACAGTGAGAGGTTTTTGTACGGCGGCTCAATGACTTTGTATCACTGTGGTACACGTTCGGTGGAGGAACCAGACTGGAGTTTGGAAGTAAGTCAAATGTTAATTCATAAGAGCAATTTCTCTTCTGTTGTACTTATTATTCAGCGTACGGAGAAATAGTTACCTCTCCATGTCATTGTATACATACTTATCAAATATTCTGAACTAAGAGGCTAACTTTACTCCAGCAAAAGACCTTTAAATGTTTTTATGGAACTTTGAACACAGAATAATTCATTATTTCCACCTTTAATGGTGAAGTAGCTTCTCGAGGGCTGGTAGGTTTAGTTCAGTGAGTCAAAGTCAGAGAGCCGTGTCTCTCTACAGTGAGAGCTTTTTGTACGGCGGCTCAATGACTTTGTATCACTGTGGTGGACTTTTGGTGGAGGAACCAGACTGGATGTTGGAAGTAAGTTTCTGCACAAAAACTAAATATGATGTTAAGAGACGTTTTCAATTCTGTGTTAGAGTGTTTGAGAGATAGATTTATATTATTTTAATTGTAATGTTTAGATAGTATTAGTATTCATGTCTTTATTTCTCTTCATCATTGAGACCAAGTCAGAGCAGCTTTTCTTGAAATGTCTTTATTCCCAACATGCTGTCATTTAAACAGCTTCAAATGTGAAATGATGAAATTTATCATTTTTCATTAATTTATTTGAAATCGTCTATCTCGGTTCTCCTCTCTGTTCTCAAATAAATTACAGATACAGTTTTTAAATACAGATGAACGGAGTAAAGATAACGATGGATATTAAAAAAAGTGTTGAATTCTTTCAGACATTATTTTAAAGTTTGTAAAACTGGGTAGTGATTGAGATTCACATTAAGCACAGCTGATTGCTCCGTTTCCTGTATTTGTTCATTTATCCACTAAATAATTTAATAATGTTTGTAGAGTTCAGGTTTTGGATGATTTTGATAACTACTACTTAAAATATGTCCTAATGTTGTACTTCTATTGTAGTCTGACATATTTCAGGTGACTCTGTAGGAAGTGTCTCTGTGCTGATTTGCATGAGAGGCTTCTTAAAGGGAAGTGAAACAATGTGTGAGTGAGAGACTGATGGAGCAGAACCAACATCTGACAGAAACTCCTTAAAGGACAAGCGCTCTCACAGTAAAGGTGTCCCAGTGTCTGCTGGTTGATTGACAGCTGTGTGCTCCCTGTCCTCTAATCTGATTGGTGTCTCCTAGGTGATGTCCGTCCCACCCTGACGGTGCTGGCCCCCTCCACAGAAGAGCTGCAGCAGGGGAAGGCCACGCTCATGTGCCTGGCCAACAAGGGCTTCCCCTCAGACTGGAGTCTGGCCTGGAAGGTGGACGGCAGCAGCAGCTGGGAGGAGAGCAGGAGCCCCGGGGTGCTGGAGAAGGACGCCCACTACAGCTGGAGCAGCACCCTGAGGTTCTCTGCAGACCAGTGGAGGAAGGTGGGCTCTGTGACCTGTGAGGCCACCCAGGGCTCCCAGACTGCGCTCTCAGAGACACTGAGGAGAGACCAGTGTTCCCAGTCCTAAGCTGACTCACTGGGACTCTGCTTTCTCTCTCACACTGCTCTCAGTCTGCTCTCTGGCTCTCAGGACATGTTTCAACATCAACCTGTTTCTGCTTGTGTCGATGGTTTCAACATTTTAAAACAATAAAGATGAATGTGTGTATTATAAAATGTGTTTTGATTCCCTTTCTCTGAGATATTTTATATAAAAGGAACCTTATTCACATTCATTCACAAAAGTCACAACATTAACAAGTCAATATTTCACATATTGCTTTTTAATGATATTAAGGGTTTGGATATACTTCTGGATTCCTCCTAGTTTTATTTTTGTTAATCAAGATTGATACCAATAACCAATAACAATAGTATCAACATTTCAATGGTAAACCACACAGCTCTCTTATCACTGATGTTAAATTAAATGTTCATTTGTTATCAAACTTTACCTTGAATATATTTTGCATCACAAATGGACCCTCACGTGTAATGATAACATGTCATTCTTTAAGTCAGGTCACAAACTAATGGTCCCTGTTTAGAGATCCCCTCCATCAGCGTGTAGTGGCACTCATCCACCACCTGAGGGTGCTGCAGAACCAAGTATGTCACACAGAGAATTTCATTTGTGAGTTGATGAAGAAAAGAACATTTAAACCTGGAGATGATCTTTGACCTCCGTGAGAGCAGAATAATTCATACTTGATCAATAGTTTTAGTCGAAGGTTTGGGCAAAGCTTGACTCTTGGAGAATTGTGTCAGTACTGGTAGATGGAGGCAGACTTAATGCATCTGCAACTGAACACTAAGTCTGTTCTTTCTGGGACAAAGCTTGCAGAAAATAGATTTAAAGTTTTGGATATGGACAAAAATGTTGATTTTATCCTAAATGACTTTAGCCATTAAAAAGCATTTAAAAATGTCACGTTTGGAAGCAGAGCAGAGTGGATGTTTGAATTAGTTTTTGGTTGTTCAAAGCATATAAATACATCTCATGTTAACCAACAGTCATGTTTTTAATTATCTCTATCATCGATGCTAACTCAGAGCTGCTTTACTACTTCAATGAGGATTATTTAAAAAAGATAATGTGCAACATTTCTAAAATGCGTCATATATTGTCCCAAATGTTTAAAGGGCCCATGTCATGGCCATTTCCACTGATCATAATTACATTGTTGAGGTATACTACAATAGATTTATACTGTGCAATTTTCCAAACTCACATTGGTTTCGCATACAGCATCTCTGTCAAGCATGTGTATTCAGCAGTATTCACTTTCTCCACTAAACGACTCGTTGGAGCTCTTGCCCCCCCCTCCCTGTGAGCCTAGTGTGCTCCGATTGGTCAGCTCGGCCACTCGTTCTGATTAGTCAACCACCAGAGAGGCTGCGCCCATGTCTAACAGTGCTTTCCCCGGCTGCTCTCAGCGTAACATCAGTCTTATCATGGCGTCGGCACAGCCGTATATTTTATATACATATATATTTTTAACTGTTGTTATAGAAGAGTGTGACGGCCCCAGGGCCTTTGTCTTACGATGGGGTGGAGCTGAAGAGGCTAATCAGCACGATCACGGACACCTCCGGACACTACGGCCCCAGTCTCTCTCCAAAGCGGCTGCAGGAAGACTAACTCTGCGATCCTCTCAACCACCTATCTCTGCATTTACCACAATAAATGTGCCGTGGTTTTGTAAACTCGTGTATGTCTCCTTGTCTTTGTGGCCTACGAGCCGCTCATAACAAAGAGTAAGTTATTTTTACCCGTTATAAACTACTACTGTTTGATGAGAAATCAAATCATGGTTTGCTATATATGAATTCAGGGAAGAAAGGATAGGCCTACTAAGTATTTCCATTAAACTTTATTTTTAGAAATGTACAAAATGAACATAAATATACATATATACACGGTATATCATCCATTCCTCCTCCTCGCATCTTGCCTGCGCACAGTCGGTGCGGTGCCTTTTAGCACGACGCCTCAGTAGTAGTAGAAGTGCCTTTTAGCACGTCATGGATTGTCCGCCAGGATCTGGCTGGACGAAATCAAATGCAAATCACAAAATATTAGAGAAACTTAGTTGTTTTAGATTCGTTAGTAGTAGTTGTGTAATGAACAGCTTGCCTGCTAATATGCTAACCTAGCTTTGTTTACCTTGGTAGCTAACACGATATGAACGTTAGCTTGGAGGAAAGGCAACTATAATGCAGTGTAATAAAATTACTATGAACAAAAGCTAGTGGTTCATATTAGGCTAGCAATAACGTGTTTATAATTGCAATCGTATACGGGTATTCTGCTACCATACAATGTAACTTGCATGAATACATTGTTTTGCGCTAGCATACAGCTAGCCTCGTTAGCTACATGCAGTATATGTACGGTCACAATGTACGGTAAATCACAGTACAGTATACTGTATGAGTATTCCGTGTGTGTGAATGCAGACATTCTCCTGCTATGAGATACATGTATGCAAGGCCATCTGCTGATATTAGAGTTGATATATGGAAACTCTAGCAACTTAGTTAGCACAGTTAGCACTGTGTCAATGGCTTAGCAGTCCAACACAGTTTACACATTTAAACAGTCTTGTTTGATAAATACACAAATAACAATGCAAACTTACAGGTTGTATACCCAGATCTTCCCCTGCTCCAAACGGTCCAAACAAGCTGTGCATATCCGGCCTCAAACTGGGCAATGTTTTGGAAGCTTTCGTCTGTGAAATGCCGGTTCTTCGAACCTGTGGAGGAGGAACACGCCGCTGCTGGTGTGGCCATA